AGCCCCGCGCGGGAGCTGAGGGGGAGCCCGTGAGCGCGGGAGCTGAGCGCCTCTCGGGGAGCGAGCGGCAGCCAGGATGGCCTCGTCGTCGGGCAACGACGACGACCTCACCATCCCCAGGGCTGCCATCAACAAGATGATCAAAGAAACGCTCCCCAACGTCCGCGTGGCAAATGATGCCCGGGAGCTGGTGGTAAACTGCTGCACGGAGTTCATCCACCTCATCTCCTCCGAGGCCAACGAGATCTGCAACAAATCGGAGAAGAAAACCATTTCCCCAGAGCATGTCATACAAGGTAAGCTTCCGGAGGCGGTGTGCCTCTGCCCGGTACGCCACGGCTCATTCAGGCTTTGAGCCGCTCCTGCCCCGTTGCGACTTTTTCCTCTGTGGTTTCTTGCAGCTACATGAAAGACAAAAGTCGGGGGTCTTCTAAGGGCCTGGAGGAGAAGTATGTGTTGTCTGGCTTGTCAGTGGCATGGCGAGGGAAGGTTGTCTTTGTGTGGTTAGAGCGGCTGTTGAGTGTGCTCAGGACCAGCTCTCATTTTGTGGCTCGGAGAAGTCTGTGATGTTTTGAGTGGAGTCACCAAACCCATTCGTCTTTTTTCTACCTGTGAAACGAGGTCTGCGTTTTCGAATGTTTATGCAGATTTCTTTTACACCATGCTTTAAGATCCTGAACTTATTAAATGTCTTTCTAATTGGAGACTGACAAAAGATGTATGATTGAGAATGTGGGGCCCAGGCTTAAATCCAGAGTCGTCCTGCTTGGATCCTGTAAAGAGTAAAATATTCCTCTAGGACTGTCCTTGGAGTCTGATTGTTTAAAATCAAGTATTTGTATCTGTGGTAGAAAGCATTTGGACATGACCTATGCCCTTGCATCTTTTTCTGCTGTTGACTTCCACTTCCCCATGCTTGAATAAAAGGAGAGTTCTCTCTCTGTCTCTCACTTGCTTTTCTTTGATTTCTGCCACAAACGGGGAGTTTTCTTGTCTCATCCTTAAGTCTGCAACAGGCATCTCTTTTCAGGAATCGTTCACTTTGCTGCTTAGGCAAGGGTTGTTGATACTAGTGTCTGCTACAAACAAATTTATAGCAGTAATAGTGAAAGAGTACTTCATTCTGCTGCCTGGTAGAGATATTAACAGTAGCATTTGCAGTAGAGCTATTTTCAGGACTGTGATGGTATCAAGTTAGTTTAAGTTTGTTTGGCAATGATTCTTCGAAACAAAAAAAAAAATATCTGATTCCTTTGGATTATATCAGCTTGCTCTCCAGAAGAGCTTCAAGTACTTGACTGGATTACGAACAGCAAAAGAAAATAATGTAGCATGTATGGGCTTTAATATTAAATGAAATACATGTAAATCTGGAAGCTTAGCAAAGCAACTCCATCACAGAAGCTCAGGACGTAAAGAGTAAAACTTGTGCTTGCGTGTGGAAGCATACTTTGGGTATGATGCTTCTGAATACATGGATAGTTTCTTCAAGTGACCACCAAAACATTTGAGCTCAGTTCTTAACACAGGAATAGACATGATCTTTAAGGTTGAGGACAATGAAGAATTCATGTATGAAAGTATTTTTTTGCCTGGTAGTGGTGGTCCTTAGAAAAGATTTCACCTGCTGCTGCCCTAGGGTTAATATGGGTTTTTTGGAAAGCAAATCGAAACCAAAATGTGTGTGTACATGCGTGTGCACACATGTGCGTGTGCATATCATCAGCAGGTGGTCCCAAACCAAGTATTTTACTGGGTTCTATGTCTTCGTGTTACCAGATTTGAGAGTTAGGAAAAATTATTTTCAGATGAGATGGGTACTTTTTAGTCAAATATTGCTAAGGAAAACTTTGGAGATGTATCATTTTCGTAATGCTCCGGAGATGGAAGGAGTTGTTCTTGGATTTTCTGCTGTTCTTATCTTTAGGGAGGTATATGTGCTATTAGCTTCTTCCAGATGCTGGTCAGTTGGCAGATCTTCCCTCCGTGAGGTATGAGGGTTTAGGTCACTAATTTTGGAAACAGTGGTTATGCGTATATAGGTATAGCATTTCAGCATTTTCATCCGTCTTCGTACATTCTAGATACTGGCTATGTTGACCGTCTCTTAATGTAGCTCCATGACAATGATGCTAACAAATTAGGTAATTGAAATATGTTTGTTGTGGTCATCCAGATATCTTGTTCCTTTTGAACGCTTAAACTAGTTCATTTAGAAGTAAAATGAGGCTAATGGCCATCGCGTCACACCTGGTCTGGTCTAAACACAGGCTGCTGCCAAGAGGAATCTTTTTGTACCCTCCCTAGAGCTGGATCTAGCAATTGCTGATCCAACTGACCCTGTTGCTTTTTGAGAATCTAGGGGGGAGCACTGTTTTCTGTCAGCTGAGTTTGCTGATCTGACTGTTCCTGTAGACAAGAAGTTACTGGATTGGAAGCAAGGAGCAGGAAGGGTATTTCACTGGGAAGGAGGAAGGGGAAAGAGACACTGCAGTTGGTGACACCCTGCCATTGGACTGTATTAGAGGTAATGTGAAACTGCACTTGGGTGTTTGGCAGCAGTGGTGCTTAAGACACCCCTTCCTTCGCTGCACTAGTGAAAAGTTGCATGGCCACGTGCTGAGCTAGAACTCTTTCCCCCTACCACTGGGTTATGCTTCAGATAGATGAAGTCCCTGCCATGTTTCGTTGTGTGGTAGCACAAACACTTGAGTGGCACAGTGCTGTCAACAGCATAGGGAAAGGAAAGCAGAGGCTTCTTGCATCCCATGAGAGATCTGATTTGGTAGATGTACTCAGACTATGCCAAGCGCTCACAGCTAGCGATAAAACACAAAGCAGCTCCCCTGGAGAGTACCCAAAGTCATCAAGGCTACATAATAGTCATAAGTGGAGAGATAGTCTCCATATTAATTGTTGAATCCCACCATCAGGAACCCAGTTATGACTCTGAGACTCTAAAAAGCAAATTAATATCCTTCCACCCTGGAACAGAAAATAGCCTCATTTGACAATTACGCGAGCCGTGACAAAGCAGGCTTTTTATGATAAATTAAACTTCCGTTGAATTCTGAAAATGGTGAGATGTTAAATCACCATTTTTATGGATTTGATTACTTGGTCTACATAGAACTGTTGCGCAGTGAGGTGCAGTGGATTTTGATGGCAAATCCTGTAGCTTCTTTTCATGGGCTGTTAGGATACTGACAGTGTTTACATTAGCATTTAATGTTAAAAAAATCCAAACAACTGTTAATGTTTGGGATTTTACTTTGGAAGTGTTTTTCTTTGAAAGGAGCATAAAAAGTTAAAAATCTCGGATATGAATGATCTGATTATATAAAAAACAAATG